CCGGCTAAACACCGTGCTGTTTCCTAAAATCTAAATCCTAAATCCTACAAGTAACAAGGTGAATGAGGTGTAAAATTTATCAATTTGATGAAGTATTATCCTAAGTCAATGAGTAGATAATTACATTACCCCATTTATTAATTCCACAGTTACATAGGTCATACGAGAATATGGTTGTCATGACAGATAACAAAAACATTCTGGTATCAAATAAATTTCAAACGTTGGCAATTTTCGACTTTTGGGTCACGGCCGGTCTCGAGGTTTCCCTGGTGTGACCCAAGTTATAACAGTAGCATTACAAATGTAGAAGCTCAATAATTTCAGTTACCGATAAGACTGCTGAGGACTGTTCGCTAAAATTAAAGTTATTTTTACGTAGCACAGCCCCGGACACAACAAAATAATTTTAATTTGAAATGCAAATTCCTATCATAATTTGTAAACTACATCGTTCTATTCACTGCAGTATAATTGATTAAATTAAAACTATCGTAATTAAACACGTAGCTGAAACAATATAGATCAGAACGGTCACCAGCTGCGACCCACACACTGCTAAAGTAACGACACACCAGAGCCAACTAGACCACGGCGGAGAGAAAAAAGTGCTGAAATTAACCAGTCAGAGGCGGCTTACATTCACAAACTGATGGCGCAGTGAGGGTCTCTACTGACTAATCTCTACTCGCTATAGTGACTGGGGATCTGTTTCATATCATGAGATAGGTAGATCAGGCCTAGTTCAGGCACTGATAGTGATACGGAGTTAGAGGCGGCTAATTAGGTAATAGATAGGAGACACTCAGGGTCCGAGTGGTCATTAGTGAGGATAGAGTTCTGGGGAGTGGGTCATGATACTAAATTCATTTAACAAATACCGGCACAGGTTTAGTGTTTAAGTAACATGGCAGTGTTATATAGTCCATGGAAAATAGACGGAACTGTGGACACTGAACTCGGCTCTGAAAAGCAGATAATTACAGCAGAAAATTGAAAGGAGCTACCACAGCAACAATAAACATAACTGTTCTGGAATAACTTCACGTATTAGTTCCCGCCACAGTCCCGTATCTTTTGTTGCACACGCAGGTCACGTGATGCGCGCACTCACGTGACACTCACGTGGGCAGTCACGTGGTACATTTACCGCTAGTCTAGCTACTAGAACTAGTGTTTGATGTGATCAGGTGACCTATAAACGCGATGACGTGGCCGCTTTAGCGGGCTTTAGGCAGAGTTGAAGCGGTGTCGTGTGTCAAGTTTTAGATGTACATCGGAGGAGGTTTTATAAAACGTGTCTATCTCTAATTGTTGTAGCTCCACTTCGAGTTCTATTATATCTATGAACGGAATTACACAAACCTTCAAGTCACGTGGTAGTTTTCTGGAATATCATTGGAAGGTTGGTGGAGCTCATTGTGGCCTATCCTTTTGTCATTTATCGAGGAATGTGTGTGTTGGGGGTACTCAGAACAAAGTGTGTGTGGGGGTGAAGGTACTCAGAACAAAGGTTGGAGAACAAAGGTTGGAGAACAAAGGCAAAAAATGTTAATTAACAGAAAAATAATATTGAAGTGAGTGGAACTAGAATCTAGGTAAACTATAGGTAAAAATATAATATTAATCATAAGCTAAAATGTACTAATCTTTGTATTCTAAATGGGGAAAAGAAGGAACATTGTCAGTCAGTCGAGAAAATTGTCAGTCAGGCTATATGGCAGCTTTGTAGATGTTGTGACTATGCTAGTAGTGGTCCCAGGCTTGCGACTGGAATTGCGGTGTTAAATCGATTTAATGGTATACCAACGATCCACCTCCCACTTGTTGTTTGGTACTTAGCATTAATAGTGTCAGCTGTAGCCATTTATAGCAATAATCTTAAAACTAAAGGGGATGACAAGGAAAAGAGGAAGGAAAAAGAATAACGGAACAAACAATTAATTAAAGTATTTACAGGAGCATTAGTTATTGTAATTACAAGCTTCAATAAAAAATCACTGCTAAAATGTACTAATCTTTGTATTCTAAATGGGGAAAAGAAGAAACATTGTCAGTCAGTCGAGAAAATTGTCAGTCAGGCTATATGGCAGCTTTGTAGATGTTGTGACAATGCTAGTAGTGGTCCCAGGCTTGCGACTGGAATTGCGGTGTTAAATCGATTTAATGGTATACCAACGATCCACCTCCCACTTGTTGTTTGGTACTTAGCATTAATAGTGTTAGCTGTAGCCATTTAGGTAGCAAGAATCTTAAAACTAAAGGGGATGACAAGGAAACTAAAGGGGATGACAAGGAAACTAAACAGTAGTAATGAACGCTTAGTTTTTTAATGAAAAGTGAGAAAGATAAGGTCATGGAGATAGGTAGGATCTGGAAGTTAACTGTGTGAATGTGGTTCTAATTATTCTAGCTTAGTTAGATTCCAATCGGCAGAAACTATGATGGTGTTATCCTTGGTCATTTCATGTTTTATATTTAATTTCTGTTTAATTCCTATATTTCACCCACTTCAGGTGTCGGTCAACGGCCAAACATTTAGTTAATAAGGACCACAAAACGGCATGACAAAGTAGGTGGGTGGGGAAAGCACTGTAAGCCTAAAACATTCGCTTTAGCAACTGATTAAAAAACAACGCACTACCGGTCTGGTTGGAGAACATGATGCCGTATCAAGAATCAAGATCCATGCACGAGAATATGATGACGTGAGGCGAGGTACTGCACGTGTTATGCGGTATGGTAGCACGTGGTGCCGTGTTCGAGGATAAAATCACTGCTCCCCAGTCCCCAAAAGGCCCTCAAAGCCGAGTGCTGACAATTGTTCTGAAGAACCATAAGATGACCTGCTTGATTGGGCGTGCTGTGCTGCAGAGTGACCAAATCCGCGGGATGAGTAAAACAATTGATGTGTTCTAAAATTTGTATCTGATAGGAAGTGGTAGCTAGGAAGTGATGTTGGAGTGATGTTGGAGTTTTGTCTGAGTTTTGTCTGACCAACAAAAAGAATGTGCTTCCTTGTTGGGGACAATGTTTCATGGAAGTTTTTTAAAGTGCATGTTTTATTTTATACTTATAGTACAGTGTGTACTGTGTATATTGGTGTATCAATGTGTGAGGGGATTAGAGGCCCAAATTTGAAGTATCCTACCCAAAATAAAGCAAAAATTAGTAGGCTGAAGTAAGATGTGGTGTTTTTTGTTGGATAATGGGAAGTCATGTTGGGGAATGCTATACCAGTTGGAGATTACAGTACCCTGGGACTGGGGGCCACTGGACAGTTCTACTTGCCAGCACCTTCCAATGCTATATCCGGTCATACGACACCTAAGCCGTGAATCTCACTGGCTGATGATTATTATGGATCATCAGCCAGAGTAGAGGGAGGAGGAACGCATTAACTTTGAATTTTGGTTCTAGGAACATTTAAAGTATGAAGTATCGGCAAATGCCATCTCCATAGTAAACGATCTACGGTAAAATTAACAAGCTCCAAGCAATACTATATAGTCTTCGTCTAGAAGTTACAAAGTTACGATCCCTTACAGTTACATTAGCCGTAAAATGGACATTACTAAGTTTACGTAGGTAGTGTCTGGTCTATTTTGTAGTAAACTTCCTGTTCCTGGAGCCTTACTGGTAGGTTCTCGCAATAATATCGACATTATTAGGAACATAGTTAGAGAATGTGTTGCCGCATTAGAATATTTGTTGTAGAATGAGCAATGAGAAAGAGAATATTTGTTGTAGAATGAGCATTGAGAAAGAGAATATTTGTTGTAGAATGAGCATTGAGCGGCCGTGTTTTATACATATCATGTGTTGCGGTGTTGACACTTGATAATATTAGTCTATTTCAAAAAGCTTCGACCTAATATCATTAGATATAAGGAGACAATAAACAAATACACAGATATTATGATTCTTATATTTGAGAATTGGAATTAATCAACGCTCATTAGTTGTAATGTAAGGGTTTGAAGTGTGTTGCATAAGCAAAGGACAATCTTAAAGACTACTGTAAAGGTTACGTTTTGTAAACTCTCTTTCAAAAGAAAATGAATGTAAACATTTTGCCGATTAGGAAGTTTACTTGTGTTTGGACAGATCTCCAGAGGAACGGACACTACAGATAAGAAGAAATTAACAACTCTCAACGCAGAAAAAAGGAAGATGTGTAGCGATGAATCATGAAAGAACTTGAGGCTTAACTACAACCTGAATTCACATGGTTTACTTTAAATGTAGTGGGGGTATTTTCATGTTTATCAGCATTTCCGGGAGTGGTGTTATCATTATACTGATTTACATCCGAGTGTAACTGTGAAACTGTAAGAAGTCTAGTTTGATTTTTAATCAGCTGACAGTAGTTTTTGTTCCTTTATTAGTGTGACACAGGAATCGAAATCTAATTGTAATGATTTGTGAATTTCAATCCATACAAATAATCATTGATAAGATAAGGGTTGACCCCTTCTTCATTTCTTTCAAAATCAATGAGTCATATTTATTTCATTTTCATAACTTCGTTTAACACTTTTTGATTGTGACCCATATAATAATAGTCTGTTTCACTGCAGAATATCTCTTCAAAATCTTCCTTTCTCTTCCAAATCATAAAACAAAATACATTTATTAATTAATTAATCGTTTGTTGGGTCACGGTTTCTGCTTCATTTTACAAACCCGATTAAATAACTTGTTTTGAATGACGCCACTTTAATTTGGATAAACTTCAGCCCATATATTTACATGAATTTGTGGTTCATCCTTACTGTCACTATTCTCTGTTGCTGACATGGATTGGTTGTCTTCAGCTTCTCGACCACAATAAAGTCCGATAGAAGACTTAAACTTCGACTCAGCTTCATTTTAAGCAGATTATCCGCCACTTTTTGAGCTGGTTTGATAGATATTGATCCCCAAGCAACTCAGCTTCACTTGAGTAAGTCTGATTTCCAGCAAACTGATCTAATAATCATGTGAATTATTGTCTGACTTCAAAGTTCTGTGAAGTCCATGTAGTCATTTTCGATGGCATCAAACCGATGTGCTGAAGATGGGGAGGTTTGGCACGTCTCTGGTGGTGGGACTGGAGAGAACACTGCTGGTGGTGGAGTGGACTGGGCTGCCTCCAGAGGAGTTACTGTATCTGAAGACAAGATAAGGATAACACAAGATAAGGATAAAACAAAATTGTTACCTTACTCGGGATTATTACGACGGGTTTATTAACGACCGGTTAAAATATGGTTCGGGAAAAATATGGCGAAATTGCTCAAAACCCGCCACATTTTCCCGGTCGCCATTTTACCGGTGTCCAACGTTTCAATTTTAGATTCAAAAATTTTGTCTCAGATGTAAATTTCCTTATTAGAGATAAGCAAGTTTAGAAATTTTCGCATTGCTAAAATTTGTGAAACAAGTCGAATTATCAATAATTGTTGAAAGTAGACAGAAATAATGACTCGTGGTTAATCAAACTAGATGGAAAATAATTTTTAACATTTGAAGCGTAACAACCAGATCGATATTAAGATAAAGGGAGAGCTGTTTAGTCTTCCAATAAGTTGTAATCATCTTCGTTATCTTCATCTGGATCATCCCTTTCATCAGTTTTAATTAATTCAAGTTTTAATTTAACTGTTACTTTTACTTTGAGTCCTATTTCATTATGTAGAGATAGTCAATACCTAAGAAATTAAAAATTGGCCTATTTAAATCAAATTTGACAATAAGGATATATGACAAGAATTGGGCAAAAAGGTGAATTTTATGCAATTTTAGCCAAATGAAGTCGAAAAACCTACAACAAGTGTCCCAATAGTCTTCTTTAGTGAATATAAGACAACGATTAAAATATGAGCACCCATACCCCTTGGGAACCCTAAAAGCTGAGTAGGCGGGTTTATTATCGACCGGTGAAAATGTGGTTCAGGAAAAATATGGCGAAATTACCCTAAACCCACCACTTTATCCCGGTCATAATAATCCCGAGTAAGGTATTCAGAATCCAGATACAATTTTGAATTTGGTAGTTAAAGATTGCAATTTTTATCGTTTTAAGAATTCTAAATCATGATGTCGGGATCCCAAAATAACTAGGTATTGAATGATTAAAAATTAAATCGGCCTAAATTAATGCTGATAACATTTATTTACCTAAAGTAACTGATTGCTTTCGTCTTTTTCGTTTGACCAGAAATATAACTGCAACAATAGCCATGCCAGCTAGGACTATTCCCGCTATCGCAGCCACACCACAAATAATTAGCGGCAGGTTTGTACTTGAGAAGGTGTCTAACTGCAGTGACTCAGATTTCTCGGCCTCAATATAACTGCCCATAACAGGCACTATATCTGCAAATTCAAGACAAGTTTAAGGATGGAAATATAATATAAAACGTCATTTCAGCAATACAGCAATAAAATGAAGTATTATATATATCACCGATCATTTAACTATTTGACGTCTTTGTGAGTATATATTAGCATACTGATTTCCATCATTTTAAATCAGTATCAGGGTTACCTTGATCACATGCAGTTGGAGAAGCACACTTCGCAACTTCCGTATTGACCCCATCACACATCCTTAAATTAAAAACAATGAATCGTCTAAAAATGCTTACCTTAATCTATTAATATTATAGCCAAAGTAAATAAATATTTCTCACATAATTGGGTATTTTAAAGACTATGATTTCTGAAGATGTCGGTTTACTTATATTAAGTTATCATTACAGCAGAAGAGACATTACACAATTAAGGGGGGGGGGGGGGGGGGGGGGGGGGGTTCACCCTGATTTTTTTGTGAAACTTGGTTTCGAGATAGCAGTTGACCAACAAACTAGGACCGGTGACCAAACTTTTGAGGGGGTCCCGGACCCCAACCGCCAAACGGTGCCCGCGGGGCAGCCACGCCCATATTTTGTCCAAATTAGGCCCAATTTAGCCAAATACCCTCAACATGCCCGAAACCCAGGTTTTAGGTGCTCTAAACTTTATATGGAAGGTAAACCTATACTACACATTCTCTACGATTATCAGCTCAGTATCTACCTAACTGTGGATTCTATCTTCAAATAATCACAAAAAAATGAACAAAATTGCCCATATCTCAGTTCGCGATATTTGCGAAACTGATTTCGTTCAAAACAATAGAACTCAATAGGATTTCAATATTTTTACATGAAATTTTCAGAATCAACGTAGAATCGCATTTCGACCTTAAGTTTTAATATGGAATTTTGAGTTAGGCCTTTAAAAAATTTGGCGGCCAAATTCTGAAATTTGCCGGGCATTTTTCAGTATAGGTTTACCTTCCATATAAAGTTGGTTTCATTCAAAAATATTGATATTTGACCAATTTATGGGCAAAAATCGATCAAATTTGGTGCGTATGCCCAAATATGGTCATATGGTTTTTGGCCAATAGCTACAAGTAGAGCACCTAAAACCTGGGTTTCGGGCATGTTGAGGGTATTTGGCTAAATTGGGCCTAATTTGGACAAAATATGGGCGTGGCTGCCCCGCGGGCACCGTTCGGCGGTTGGGGTCGAGGACCCCCTCAAAAGTTCGGTCACCGATCCTAGTTTGTTGGTCAACTACTATCTCGAAATCAAGTTTCACAAAAAAATCAGGGTGAACCCCCCCCCCCCCCCCCCCCCCCCCCCCCTTAAATACGAATAACTGGGATCCTAAATTACCATGCTACGTAGATACGTGCTACATACGTACTACATACGTACTACATACGTACTACGTACGTACTTGCCGCGACAGGAGGGTTGAGGGTTAGTACAATACCGATCCCTCCTGATAACCCCTTTAGTACTAGTTGAGTTACTTTCGCAAATACAAGGTCCCCAGTCAGCCCACTTACTCCACCCTCCGTTCAGTGACGTGCCTGATAATCAGAGAGATAGTTCATAATTATCATCAACTTTAAAACAAACTGGACAATGGTACAATATGATAAACTGAAACTATGATTTATAATGTAAGGTGTAAGATATTTTTAGTAAGGGAAAGAACGATGGATTTATAAAACTTACAGCATTGATCGTTACATTTGCCGTGTTCAATCATATCTCCTTCGCAATCTCTGCAAAATATCTTATTATCTAACAATACTGATAGCTAAAGTACCCCTACCCTTAGTAATGATAGTTAAAGTACGTCAAGCAAGCATTAATCTAGAAGTCTATCACAATTATAAACGCAATCAGTTCATTAATACTCAAACAGGGTAAAAGTTGTTAATGTTGGTAACATTTGTATTTCCGTAGAGCTTTACTCACGATCTATATGATGGAAAAATAAGACGATTATATTTTCAACTGTTTTTTTTGTTCATTAAATTTATTTAAATTTACTTACGCTCCATGACAGGAAGGGGCAGGATCTGTACAGGATCTGGTTCTCATCTGAGATCCAGTACCAGCATTGTAATCACAAATACATGTGCTCCAGTTACCCCAACTGTTCCAGTTCCCGTTCACTAGAGTACCTGAATCAAGTGTGTGTGTTGGAGATAACAACATGATGACAGTTCAGCTAATTGTTAATGTTCGGACTACTTCCTAAATTAACACTTCTCAGTTAAATGCAGCCAATTTGCAGATTATAAACTTGACATTATGCACGTGATGGTATCAAAAGTTTCTGCCCGTTTACCCGACTGCTGTAGTGACAGGTTTAGAAAATAGGGCCACATGTAATATGTAGATTGTAGAGTGTAGAATGTAGAATTGATAGTTGTACTACCTATAACTAAAGAAACTAAGATAATAACTTACAGCACTGATCATCACACTTTCCATGCTCCACCATATTACCCTCACAGTCCCTGAAGGTAAAAGTCATTAGTTTGGGAGTGTTTAAATAAGCTTATTTAAGTTTTATCAGGAAGCGCCTGTTGTTGATTCGTTGACTCTGTAGCCGCTGACTATTCACATCAAGTAATCAATTCATTCAAACTAAGCCCAAAAAAGGCTACACTACTGAAATCTATAAATTTTGTACAACAGGATACGCATCACACGTGACACGGTATTTGTTTTGAACAATGTGACATTTATAATTTTACTTACGATCCATAACAGGAAGGGACAGGATCTGTACAGGATCTGGTTCTCATATGAGATCCAGTACCACCGTTGTAATCGCAGACACACATGCTCCAAGATCCCCAACTTGTCCAGTTCCCGTTTACTGATTCACCTTTTGGGAATTGAAATTAAAATCATCGAGTAAAAAAACTCGAAACGCTAGAATATGTTATTCAGTGTGTTGATATACAAATTCTAGAGTCATTTAAAATTTGAAACTCATTGCAACTTTACTATCACTATCGTCTGATTGATCATTAAAATTTTTAAAATATTCGAATATTTAAACAATTTAAATGGTCAATTAAACATCTCAAATGTTCCAACTCACAGCATTGATCATCACAGGATGTATGTTCCAGGATATTCCCCACGCAGTCCCTGAAAAATAACAGAGTTGTAATTTAAAACCCGGATCAATTCCAAAATCATTTAACTTGGCTCCATTCCTCTAACGAATAAAACGGTAGTAATTGTTTATGTAATTGTTCATGTAGTCGCATAGTGTAAGGAACAATGTATAGTCCAACTACGTGAAAAATAAACTAAATAAAAATGACAATGACTTACTGGCCATGACAGGAAGGAGCGGGATCTGTACAGGATCTGGATCTTATCATGTTTCCAGTTCCAGAGATGTAGTCACAGACGCACATATTCCAAGAGGACCAATTTGTCCAGCCTCCATGCACTGATTTACCTGAGTTGTACTTTTTTAAACGCTTGAATATGTCTGAAAATAATTTAATCAACCATTTTTTTGTTATATTATACAAAGTTTCAATTTTTAAATTTAAAATAAACCTACAGCACTCAAAAAGACAAACACCATATTCCACTCGGTCGCCATCACAATCACTGAAAGAAGAAATGATTTATTTCAGGAATCAGGATATCTGTTTCCGAATAAAAATGTCCAAATGATTCGATTCTATGTCACAATCACTCTTCCTTGAAAACATGCCCGCCTCCCCAACTTACGATCCGTGGCAGAAAGGAGCGGGATCTGTACAGCTCCTAGTCCTGGTCTTCACCCCAGCTCCAGAACTGTAGTCACAAACACAACTGTTCCAGCTCCTCCACTCCGCCCAACCTCCGTCCACTGTTTGACCTGGTGGATTAAAGGTGGTCAGAAATAACACAGAAATCGGAGGTTTTTTCTTTGTATTGATCCAATCAAATTGGTGGTTGTTGGTATCAGTTTCAAAAAAACAGACACCATGGGAAAAGTGAGATAGCAATCTACTCACAGCATTCCTCGTCGCAGCTTCCCGTCAGCACACTATCACCCTCACAAAAACTACCCCCACACTGAGGGGAGGGACTGTTACACTGCCGGGTTATAGTCCAGGTTCCGGAACCTACATCTGAGTTACACTGGCAGGAACCGGACTCCTTCCACTCGGACCAACCCCCGTGGGTTGTCTGGCAACAGTCCCCGTCACAGCTCCCTGTTTCAACTTTTGGTCCAATACATTCGCTGCAATATTGAGGTGAGTGAATTAAACTAGGTTTAAAATTTGAAAGTTTTTGCTGATGATATAATTATATAAACCAATTTCTTTTCCTTTAAATCCTACCACAAGAAAATGTTTAAATACCTGTCACTGAAAGAAGGGGTGGTTTTTTTACATTCTTTTGTTCGGGAAAAAAACGAAATCTCACTATATAAAACGATCTGAACTAGTAAGAGAAATAGGAAGAGACCTGCCACCACAAGCAGGTGCAGGATTATCACAAGTACGTGTTTTGTTCCTAGTTCCAGTCTCTGTTTCGAGATCACAGTCACATTCATTCCAATCACTCCAATCCGTCCACCCTCCATCTACTTTCTTGCCTGCGTCACAGCACTGCTCGTGAGCTTCACAAACCTTTGTTTCGTAAGCTGATCCTTGGCAGTCTCTACGGTAGATTGTAATGTTATGTTTGTCGCTCCTATTAAATCGCTCGCCCAAATTTTAAGAAAATTCTTGTGAAAAGGCCCTTTGGGTATGAAATAGACGCCGCGCTGATTCCGAATCACCCCCCATGACGTAGGGTAAAAATGCTTCCCCGGAGAGTAATGGGCAAAAAACCGTTTTGGTTACGTGACAGCATAGTTGGTTCGTGCGTCAATTTTTCGGGAAAAGTACGTAAAGTGCGTTTGAATTATTTCGTGCGTTAACTATGCGTGACAGGCTAGTAAAACATGAATTCGATTGTTTAGGGCTCGGGTTAGGGTCAGGATTGTGGAAAGGGTTATGGATAGCTTCGGGTTTATGGTTAGGGTTAGGGTTGGGATAAGGGTTTATGTAAAACCGTTTTGTACGGCTGCAAAACCATAAAAACCAAAGTCACGTGAAATTTTTGGGCGAGCGAATTAGTACGAGCCTATGTTTGTAGTGAGGACTATTACTGATAATAAGTTATAGTGATTACTTTTACTGTTCATTGTGTTTTGTTGCGAGTTTTTCACACTTTCCATGGTGGAGCATGGAAAGTGTGATGATCAGTGCTGTAAGTTATTATCTTAGTTTCTTATCAGTTATAGGTAGTACAGATACAGCTATCAATTCTACATTCTACACTCTACAATCTACATATTACATGTGGCCCTATTTTCTAAAGCTGTCATTACAGCAGTCGGGTAAACGGGCAGAAAATTTTGAAGCCATCATGTGCATCAAGTCAAGTTTATAATCTGCAAATTGGCTGCATTTAACTGAGAAGTGTTAATTTAGGAGGTAGTCCAGACATTATTAATTAGCTGAACTGTCATCTGCATGTTGTTATCTCCAACACACACACTTGATTCAGGTACTCTAGTGAACGGGACTGGCACACCAGCATATTACGAAGTTGCAGTAGTTATCAAATATTGTGTTTAGCAACTTTACAAACCATTTTGAATTTTTTAAAGTCCAATTTAACGAACACATGATAATGTAACCTAAGGTCTTTGTAGAACTAAGACACTTACTTAGGCTGTTTGCCGTAACAACCAAAAGGTCTAGGATTATCACAAACTCTAGTTCTCATTCTTAACCTTGCACCATCATCATCACCATCACCATCACCATCACAGATACACTCAGTCCATTCCTCCCAATCTGACCAACCCCCGTCGTGAACCTTACCTGTCACATTAAGATTTAAATATTTTTGTGGAGGAAACATTTAAAAATCATGTTGTAGGCAGGTAGGTGGTCGGGAACTGAGTTGTGCAAGACGTGTATTCGAGTCGAATGTCGATATTGGCAGACGGCGGATTTGATTCTTTGTAACTTGTATAACAGTATAATTGTATATAACATGTTTTTGTTTTGAATGGAAAGAATTTGTCGGGCTTATTTGCAGTTGCACGGCCATAAATTTTAAAATTGCAACCTTATAAATGTAACTACTATCACCATAGTCCAACAATAGGCCCAGTAGCAGTAAACAGAAGACCCCCAAAGTTTCTTTTTATCATAAAACTCCCAAACTTCGTTTCCGTCGATTTTATAGCTAGACACGACAACTTAACGAAACCTCAATGCTAGGTTCACTATTGTTACTCGAGTGGTTTCCCTCCTTGGTAGGATATGTACTGTACTAGGCCCAGTGGCAGAGTGCGTGAGTTAAAGTGAACGTCAGTCCGCTATTTGAGTATCTTTTTAGGTCAATCTTTTTAAAAATCTTGATACTGATCATGATATGATCACAAACAGAAAAGGAGAAACTTGTTCCACTATGGCTACAGACTGACGTTGTAGTTCTCAATGATAACTTCAGGTGCAATTGATCGAGATTACAGTGCTTGCAAGCACGACCGTGGCAAACAAAGGAAAGTTCTGTTGAAGCGAATTGTTTTTATTAAGCCCTATTCCCGAATCTTATTGACCCAATGAAAAGAGTTGCACAACTAGGTCAGTGGTAAATGTCAGGAATGCAGACACCCACCAGTGGTTAGTGTTGGTATGGCATATTACGACTTCATCGTCATAAACTGATAGTGTGAAATCAAATCGATAACAAAATTCCAAACAAAGAAACAAAATTTTGAATTTTAGTTGACGAAGTGAGAGTCTCCACTCAGTGTGTCAACTACAATTCAAAATAAATGATTGACCCACTCATAAGAGCAAAAAAGATTACCAGAAAGAAACAAAATCTTTAAAAACATATCTCAAACTTACAACTCGTCAACGTCCGTCTGCGACCACTTCTAAATGAACTTATTCTAGGAAACAGTTGCACCAAGGTTAACAGGAACCACAGCAACTTGATTCCTTTCATTCTATGCCTTTTAAAAGAACAAATTGTTATGTCTGATTGTTCGTTCAATATTCATATACAGTAGGCCATCGATATTTCTTGATGAAAAGATCATGCTAGTTTTTACATTGATCGGTTAAAAACAAAAAATAAAAAGCTTACAAACCATTTGGAAGTGCAAACGTACTGCTCATTTAAGATTATAAACTAGTAATAAAGATCTAAATTTGTCATAAACTCACAAAGAGGTCGGTATTGTCTAATATCTAGTTGACAGATTGTACTGTACAATGCAATGATTTAGAATTGGCGGTTGAGATTTCTAATTTTAATAATACTAATAGAACTAGAAGGTCTTACGGTATTTCGACTCAAAACATTATGAACTATGAACATACTTTACTAAACGCATTTTTTGCCTACTAGAAACGGTTAAAGGTGGTTTATTTATGATTGGATTGATTTTTATATAATTTTTGATTAGCTGACCTATATATATATTGCCGACTATTTCTAAAAAACTGCCAATTCTAAATAGGTGCACTATATAGCATTATATAGCACCACATATCACGATATGTAGTAATAATAATAATAAATAATAATATAATGATAACACCACTCCCGGAAATACTGATAAACATGAAAGTACCCTCGCACTACACCTAATTAATTGAGATATTGATCGAAAAACGGTCAACTCTCTGGCCGGCCACGCATAATATGCGGATATATTAAGACGCAATGAAACTACCGGACCACGATCACGATGTATGGGGACTTGCCACCCCATGGCAACATTAAAATATATCGACTCAGTTACATCGTTTCCTGTTAATATAAATCTCCGTTACAAATTGAACCGGAATCTGGCAATACTACACCTTAGTTCAATAAACTAAGGTGTAGTAATGTATAATTAGACTTAAGTAAAAGTCTGAAAGACTATAGAAAACAAACTAGTATACTGATTGAAAGCTTAATAATAAACTGTGAAAGAGTGGTCAACGTAAATAAAACAACGTAAATAAAACAACGTAAATATAAGAGACCGAGCTGCAGAAAATCCTGTTTACGTCGCGTAAGATCATTTTTCCAAGCTGGATTATTTCAATAAAGCACCGCTATCATCTAATTCGGTTGGAGAAGCAAAAAAATAGACAAACAAACTCGGTCTTATCCTCGATGATAACTTTGTGCAAGGGTAAAAACAAAAATTATAATTAACTTGTAATAGGGTGGAAAATGAACATATATGCAACAATAAATATGGAAATTCAATAAATCTTGCAATTTGTATCTAAAAATAAAGTTCCGAAGAATTATTCATTATAATTGTTAGGCTGCAGGCTTGGCTACTCCGTACTCATAGAATAATCCATAACCTTCTAGAATTCTATATTCTTTCAGAATTTTACTTAAGTCTAATTATACATTACTTTATCGTATTTTATTGAACTAAGGTGTAGTATTGCCAGATCCCAGTTCAATTTGTAACGGAGATTTATATTAACAGGAAACGATGTAACTGAGTCGATATAAATTAATGTTGCCATGGGGTGGCAAGTCCTTAGTCCCCATACATCGTGGTCCGGTAATTTCATTGCGTCTTAATATATCCGCATATTATGCGTGGCCGGCCAGAGAGTTGACCGTTTTTCGATCAATATCTCAATTAATTAGGTGTATAGTGCGAGGGTACTTTCATGTTTATCAGCATTTCCGGGAGTGGTGTTATCATTATATTATTATTTATTATTATAAAGGGTCTCAATAAGAGGTCTCGACTGCCTAGGCGTCAAACCTTGGCAGTCGGTAGTTTTCCTCTGGCCCGGGATCAGCTGACCCTAGGGACC